CCTCAACATCTGTCCTCAAAACAATTGGTCCAACCATCTTATCCTGCTTCTTGGCTTTTCTGATGGTTTTTTCTAGCTTAGCGAGTTCTTCGATGCCTAAAGTCACGAGTTGCTTGTCCTTGTTGCTCCTGGTACTGCGATTATGCATGCACCTGAAACAGACAGCAGAGAAAGGAACAAAGTTAGTAAACAGATAGTAAAAGCTTAGTCAAAATTCTAAAACTAAAAATCCGAAAGTAATATCTAAGTCCCCGGCAACGGCGCCCAAATTTGATATGCTCAAATTAACCCTTAGAGCTACTCTCTCAAATTAAGAGATCACTGTAGTACTTAGGGATCGAATCCACAAGGACTTAAGGCTATCACTCAACAGATTTTAGATTCAAATAAAGCTAAGCAATCAATGATGAAATGAAATTAAAATAACAACGAAAGCTGATGTCAAAAGAGGAGTGTAGGTTCTTAGAATCAATAAAAACAAGACGCTAGGCAATGGGAAATTCGCAGGTTGACATAAATCGCAGACTACGGATGGAAAGGAATATTTATTAAAACCGTTATAGAACTCGAAACACTAATGTAAAACCAATCAACTTTCGTCGCAGAGATTAACTATGATCAGATTCTAGAATTCCAAATTCCTTTGCAAATTCTAACAGCCTAAACATGCATTATAGATCATGTTCGATATGTTCACAAAATCACTAATCCAAATTCCTTTGCAACTAGTTATTTTGCTCATCTAAGATAGTTCTGGTGATTAACAATGTTTTCACATCTATTAAACAACCTAAGATCTGATTTCTAGGTGATCAATCTTACAACCAGTGTTAAACCAATCTAGATGAAGAACCAAATGATTTATCCTTCCAGTTTTGTAGTTCTAACAATTCATTATCAACCTTTGAATAACCCAAAACCTAACTAGCAGATTACTCAGACATAGCAAGTGAAACACAAATCATGACTGAATAAAATTGCATTAAGAAAATAGAGTAAAAGATGAAGGGGTTCAAAATTCTTCTCTACAGAGTATGAATTTGTCTCCCCAAAAGCTCTCAATCTAATCTCTCTCTTAGTCTCAATGATAATCAGAATGAATGCCTAACAATGGCTTAGAAAAACCTAAATACAAGTCTAAACACGAACTGGGGCAAAAGTGTAAATAGTGGGAAACTTCTGGGCCAAGTTGCAATTTCTTCCAATAAATTTTTATGCTTCTTCGCGACCACGACCGGTGTCGATCGACACCAAGTAGTGGGTGTCGATCGACACCCTGATCCTTAATGCCCTCTGACTTGGTCCTTTCAGCATCAACTTCAGTATACCTCCAAAAGGTTCCAAAATCCACAATTATGCTCCATTTGTACCTAGACCTGCAAAGACTCTATAGGACTAAAAAAATACCAAAAAGACTCTATAAACAAGACTTATATCATGGTCAAAAATCAGCAAAATATATCACAGTCCATGGCCTATCCACAAAGCATCGACTTGGCATAAGGGTCCGAGGAGGGGTGTAGTGATGAGGGTCCGGATACCTGAGCGCATGGGGAGTTCCTCTTCGTCTTCTTCCTCCTGCTTGTTTGCCAGTCTCCAACTTCCTGCCTCGAGGGAAGCAGATTGTAAAGTGTCTGACGGGTGAATTACTTTGTTCTTAAAACTTTTTTATTTCTTGCTTTCCAAATATACCACAAGATCCAATGATAAATATCCTTTTGGGGTCTGGAAGGACCCTTTTCCTTTGCTCTCCAAAATAGAAAATCCATATTTTGGTATAGAGATGTACTTGGGAAGTAACCCAAAAGTGACGGAAAAACTGAGAGGGTCCAGACTTGTCTCGCCAAGGGGCATTCGAATAGAAGGTGGTTTATTGTTTCTTCTGGTGCACCACACCTTGGGCATGAGGCATCCACATTAATGTGGCCATATTTAAGGCGTTCGCAGGTGGTCACACATCCAGATAGGGATTGCCACATAAAGTGTTGGAGTTTGCTAGGAGTATGTACTTCCCATACATGGCTAAGGAGGGATGTGATACTTGGTTCAGAGGCTCCTCGTACTTCTTTGTTAGACCGAAACAATCTTGCTTGGTGATAGCCAGATTTTACTGTATACGCTCCTGATTTCGAATGGCTCCATGCATACCCATCAATGGAGAAGACTCGACTCGGCCGCAACCCTAGAATCAGGGCAATATCATTTGGGTGGAATAATTCCACTAGACGTTCCTTGTCCCATTCTTTTGTGGCGTGTGTAATTAGATCATGGACTAGGAACTGTGTGTCTATATGCAGATCAGGGTTTGCAGGTTTTGGTGGCCTAGCAGGGACATCTGGAATCCACGGCTCGCTCCACACCTCCGTATTAAACCCTGATCATATCGTCTTTTGTAGGCTGCTACGTAAAAGAGGTTTTGCAGCCATAAGACTCTGCCACCCCAGAGAGGGGGAATACATCCTATGGTCGCCTAGGGGGTTTGATTGTCTATAGTAACGTCCTCTCAAAACCCTTGCCAGGAGAGAGGAGGGAAATTGAATCAGGCGCCATAGTTGTTTGGCTAAGAGGGCTATGTTAAAGTCTCGCATATCGCGGAATCCCATGCCACTCAATGCTTTTAGGGAACATAATTTATCCCATGCAATCTAATGCATGCCTCTACTATCTTGTTTCAAGCTCTACCAAAAGTTAGAGATCGCACTCATAAATTTATCGGTCATTCCTTTCGGGAGGAGGTAGCATATTAAATTTTTTTTTATAAATTTTATATCAAAATTTATTATTTTTCATTCTCTATAAATAGAGACTTGTATCATTTAATTTGGACACAGAAAAAAAAATCATTCTTTCGTACAATATTTTTTTAGTAACTATCAATTGATTAATTTTTTGTGTGTGATTTAAATAAATTTGTACCCCATTTCATCTTGTTCATTACACTAATCTTATATTATCGATTGATTAAATCTTGTAATATTACAAAGACTAACATATTTTATGTTTGCATCTAACATAATTTACATTTTTTTAAAATGAGCATAGATTTCTTAATTTAGTGAATAGTGTTGTTAATACTCATACACTACTCTATGAATATATAAATAGAATAGAATGACCTAGTATGATGTTCTATTTCCTATATACTAAATGGAACCACTATTCTATGAATATACAAATAGAATAGAATGATCATGTTCTATTTCCTATTTACTAAATAGAACCGAATGACCAACTAATTTCCTTATTTAAAAAAATACATTTAAATACACAAAAATTAATAGAATAAAAGTAGTGGGGTTTTGACCCAAAAAGAAGGTAATGGGGTAAGGTGTTGAATTTTTTTAAGCAAACTACTGTAGATTATAAAATATAAATGAGTGTTGAATTATGAATTGAAAGAGAGAAATGATGATGTGGAATGTAAAATAGGATGTTGATAATATAAACTATTGTACATAGTCTTAGTCTCAATTATCAAATACATGAAATCATCTCTTACAAAACGGTCTATGTTTTCTCTTGTTAGTCTCAATTATTAAACACACGATAACTCCATTATCGATTGCACTAAATGCGGTCACATATTCATTGATTTCAGTTTTACATATATTTTATTATATAAAATTGAATGTGTCAAAATTAGTATTTCACATAATCATTGTCATATGTCACGATTTTGTGAATTACTAATTTTGATACATCCAATTTTATATAATAAGATAGATTTAAAAAACAATTATAGAATTATATAAATAGAAAATTGCAGTAAACATGTTTTTATCTTTGAGAACTAAAGTGTTTTTGTGTTCTCTCTTTGATCAACATTGATACTATTACTATTGATAGGTCCTAGTTATTGGACGATGAATGTTGATTACGACAGAACACAACACTATCAATATTAAAATATTATTTAAAACTATTAATATAAATACATTTATATTAAATTAAAAAAATAAAAAGTCATTTGATATTTAGTCTAATGTTTTAGAAAGTTAATATAAAAAATTAATAAAAATGATATTTTATACTAATTAGTGAAAATAATAATAAAAAATTGAACTAATAAAAAACAAAACATAAATTTTTTTTTACAATATGTCAATATAATTTAAATAAAAAATAATATTAAAAAATTTAAATTAACAAAAAAATATTAAAAAAGAAATTAACTTGATATCTATACTAATTATTTTAAAAATTAATATAAAAATTTTAAATAAGAAAAAAACTTAAGTAATATAAAAAAATTAACTAAAAAAAAATATGTCTTCAAAAATGTTAATAATTTTAAAAAATATGTGTCAAAATAAAATAGAAATCAATATCAAAAGAAGTAAATTATCAAATAAACAAACCGTATAAAATAAAATAAACTTGATATTTAGGCTAACATTTTAGAAAATAAATATAAAAAATTAACTAAAAACCAAATGATTATATAAAATTTGAAGAGAAGTCCATATAAAATTTAATATGACTAGTTATAACTTGTCAAATAAACATTATAATTGTAATTAAAATTAATATAAAAAGAAATTTAATAAAGAAAAACTGTTCATGTAAAATAAATTAAATTGATATATATGTTACCTATTTGGAAAATCAACAACATAAGTACTTAACTAAATATATATATATATGTTATGAGTATATGAAATATGCAAAATATTGTCTAAATTAAAATAAAATATAAAATTACCATCAAAAGATATAAAATAAAAAAAAAACTAAAAAGAAAACTTGCTTCTAACTTAATAATATCATAATATAATCATATAGACTCATGCCCAATTAAAAACTTAGTATATATTTACAATCACTAATTTAATAACATTAGATTTGAAAAGATTTGTAGAATAAATGTTAGAATAACAAAATTTGTAATTTTAATACAAATCACAATAAACACATACATGCTCTTTAATGGTTTTGGAAAGGGAAATTAATGTGTAAGGGGCTTATTTGTTTAATTGTTAATTATAATAACAAATAGTATATATTAATCCACTGACCGGTTCGACCTGATGATGCCACCCGATATAATCTATCCGGTGACCCGATAGACTAACCGGTTCACCTTTAAATTCTTTTCTGCTCAGTGAGTCGCCGCCGTGGTCTCGAGTCGAATTCGTGGTCTCTCCTCCGCGCGTCGACGTCGTGCCACCGTCTCTTCTCTTCCCTCCATCATCTAATCGCTCCTTAACCATTCGCCGTCTTCCCTTGGTTCGTCTCGTCATCTTGAAAACAAGGTAAGGCCTTTGTTCTGTTTTATGAACTAGAACTCGTGTATTGCATGCTGTGTTTAGGAAATGCCTGCTATTCAGAAGAACCAGATTAGTTAAGCAATCCATGGCAGAACGATAGAATATCAACAATTTGTAAAAAAAGAATTCACTTTTCAGGAAAAGTTCAAAAATTTCTGATTATAGGTGGATCTTGTGCACCCTCGAATATGAGTTTCATGGAAACATTGGATTTATATTCTTCGAAAAAACTTGCTTAGTTGTGTGTGACTTTGGTTTATTGTCGAAAGCTACAACCTTATGGTATTTATTGGTTTGTTTAAGCTCGTTTGAATTTGGGGAATTTTTTTTTTCAACTTTCAGCCAATGCAAAGCTTGTAACTTGGAGATATTAAGCAGCTAATTTGCACCTATACTACACTTCAATGGCTGCTTCTGATCAACGCCGATCTCGCCAGGACGATGGAAGCCCTTCGAAACCCAACAAGAAGAAGAAGGCAAACAAAAACCCTGAAACGAATCTCCTCTTCAACCTCAATTCATGCTCCAAGTCTAAGGATCTCTCAGCTGCATTAGCTCTTTATGATGCAGCCATCACTTCCAACGAAGTCCGTCTCAGCCAACAACATTTTCAGACCCTTCTTTACCTCTGCTCGGCTTCCATTAGCGACCCATCTCTTCAAACCCTCGCCATCGACCGTGGCTTCCAGATTTTCGACCGTATGGTTAGTTCAGGGATAAGTCCTAATGAAGCATCCGTCACTTCAATGGCCCGTCTTGCTGCTGCTAAAGGTGATGGTGATTATGCTTTCAAGATTGTCAAGGACTTTGTTTCTGCTGGCGGCACATCGATTCCCCGTCTGAGGACCTATGCGCCGGCTTTGCTCTGTTTCTGCGAGAAGCTGGAGGCTGAAAAGGGTTATGAGGTGGAGGAGCACATGGATGCTGCAGGTATTGCGTTAGAGGAGGCTGAGTTCTCTGCTTTGTTGAAGGTGAGCGCTGCCACAAGCCGAGAAAGCAAGGTTTATAGGTATTTACATAAGTTAAGGGAGTATGTTGGCTGCGTTTGTGAGGAAACTTTGAAAATCATCGAGGAATGGTTCTGTGGAGAGAAAGCTGGTGAGGTTAGTGATAATGGGATTGGTTCTGGGAAGCTTAGAAAAGCTATTATGAAGAATGGAGGTGGGTGGCACGGGCACGGGTGGGTTGGGGAAGGGGAATGGATTGTGAAGAAAGGTAATGTTGACTCAACAGGGAGATGTTTGAGCTGCAGTGAGCAGTTGGGTTGCGTAGATGCCAATGAGGTAGAAACAAAGAAGTTTGTGGATTCTTTGGTGGCTTTGGCTATGGAGAGGAAGGCAAAGATGAAACCATGCGTTAAAAAGGTGGACTTCAGTGAGTTTCAGGTTAGAAAAAAGAAATGGATAGTTCCTGGATTCTATAGCTTGTTTCTAATTAGTTCTGGGACAAAAAAGATGCATGAGATTAACATTTTCTGAGAATGCAGGTTTATGTTTTGATTACTTAACTTTGATAAGCATTTAGAGATAGGTGTAGCTGCTTGGATTTTTCAGTGCAGAAGAGAATTGAATTTCTTCTTTTAATCAAAAATCGCTGTCGGAGTTCTGTATAGCTCCGAATGTGAAAGTTATAGGCTTATAGCTGCATTACAGTCAGTAAAAAAAAGTAGAAGAAAAAGAGAGTGTAGGTATCTCCTATATGGTATACTTAAATATCAAATTTTTGTTGAACGCTGCACAACTATGTGGCAGGAGTGGCTTAAGAAACATGGAGAGTACGAAGCTATAATAGATGGAGCAAATATTGGGCTGTACCAACAAAATTTTGCAGAAGGTGGTTTCAGTCTTCCACAGGTTCGTTATCTAAGCTTTACTTGTTGTTTTCTTCCTTGGTATCTCCGAATCCATCCCTGCGATACTTACATAGGTACATTTTGCGATAGAGCAGCTTGAAGCTGTGGTGAAAGAACTTTACCATAAAAGTGGTGATAACAAATGGCCCCTGATTCTATTGCACCAAAAACGGGTCAGGACGCTTTTAGAAAACCCGACCCACAAGAATCTGGTTGAGGAATGGATCAATAACGGTGTCCTATATGCGACTCCACCAGGTTCTAATGATGATTGGTATGAAGTTAAACTTCTCTTACAATCCCCATTAGTACAAGAAACAAACAATGTTTGGTTGGTTACACAGATCGTTTGTTTATTTTATTTCAGGTATTGGCTCTATGCTGCTGCTAAGCTCAAGTGTTTGCTTGTGACAAATGATGAGATGAGAGATCACATTTTTGAACTCTTAGGGAACAGTTTTTTCCAAAAGTGGAAAGAAAGGCATCAGGTAAACTAAAGTTCGAAACTTTCATAGTAAAAAGTATAATCATTTGAGAAGATCTACAATTAGCTTCTAAGTTTTATGGTTTTGGTACAGGTTCGGTATACCTTTGCGAAAGGCAATCTGAAGCTTGAAATGCCTTCTCCTTTTTCGGTTGTTATTCAGGTTCACACCATCTCATGTCCTATTTGTGTTTTTTGTATACAGTTTTAAAGAAATGGATTGTTTCTGAATCATCTTTTTTCTATGACAATATCAGGAATCAGTGAAAGGGTCATGGCATGTTCCTGTTTCATGCCAAAACAATGAGGAGTCTTCAAGAACTTGGATCTGTATTAGCAGAAAAAGTGTTTCGGATTCACCTAAGACTAATGAAAAGCTTTCAACCTCTGGAAATGGGAAAGGTTCTTAGTAGCTGCAACAACAGCTTATTGAGTTCATGTGATGATCAGAGTTGAGATATTCTGAGATCTAACAATCGAGAGAGCCATTATTAGCCACCATTGTTCTTTGTTGTGAGTTTTATATATATATATATATATTCCAAGAATATTAACACAAAACATCATTGCTTTTACATTTGAGAGGACTGAATTTTGCCATTTTGGTCATTAGAAAGAAAAAAAAATACTTTTTTGTTGTTGAATAACCCGATTCGAAATCAACAAACAAGTGAATTAGATCAATGTAAACCGGAGCAGACCGGACCGGGGTTGACCAGGTTGGTTAATCCAATTGACACACGAGGGTTTTCTATTCCCTTCACGGCTTCACACTCTACTTTAATGGCCACGTCAGCATCATTTCACGATTGCATCGGCTAGCGATTCTCCACCGTCCGATTCTTAAACCCAAACCGATCTAGACCGTCCATCAATGTCTCTTATCTCCTCCCCGTCGTAGTCGCAGGCTCGCAGCCGGTAAAGCGCATGAAAGGATCTTCAGAACTTTTGCCTTCTCTCTAAATTATTCTCACTTCCTCCTTCTCTCTCCCTCTCTCTCTCTAACCAACCTGGTAAGGTTTTTCGCCATTGCTGCTCTTGTTCTTCTTCGTCGTCTTCGTTTGTCTTCTATTTACTTTTTAGGTTTTATATTCAACAACTTCGTGTATTTGTATTTTTACCCATCACCAAATTCATCTGTGTTCTAGCTATTTGCTTACTTCAATTGAATTTAGTGTATAAGATTGAAAAGAGACGAGGATTTTAGGATTTGTGGCGATAACTCTGATCTAGGGTTTTTCTCTCTCCGTTTGTTAGGCTGCTCAATTTTCGTTATTTTTTTTTGTTTGGGTTGTTGGGAATTATATTAAAAGTGCAGCGTGTTTGATTTTGTGGTTGCAGTGATTTCCGATTCGGTTTTGTTTATGATTCTGTAGGTTTTGTGATCTAGAAAATGGGAGATGGGACTGAGGTTGTGGTTAGGTCACATGGGCAAGAGAAGAAGAAGCTTGCAGATGATAGAATCAGCGATGAGCAAGTAGAGAAAAACGAGTTTGTGGGATCTGATGAAGCCAAGGATAACGAAGAGGTCTTCGAGGAAGCGATTGGTTCAGAGAATGATGAGGAGGAGGGTAACAAATCCGATGGGTTGCAAGAGGATTCAGTTGTAGATGCAGCTCCAGAAAGTTCCATCGAGGAGCATGATGAAGTTGAGGATTTTGAAGAGGCAGTGGGTGATCTGGATGAAACAAGTAGCACTGAAGGGGTAATACAAGATTCGAGGTTCGATGATCTGCCGAAGATTCATGTCAAAACTGAGCCTGATTTTCTGGGCCTCAAGATGAATGGTGATAAGGGTGAAGCAGGTGCAGAACATTCTTATGGTCAAATTGAATCAAGCTTGGATCTTGTTGACAACACTACTGAGAAGGCTAATTCCAACGGTTCAAATTCAGCGGCTGATGATGTGAGTTTGGAAAACGGAAAAGCACATTCTTCGTTGGAAGATGGAACCGTCTATCCCGAGAATGATGAACTGGTGGCTGATGTTATCTCGAAAAGTGTTGAGCCCGAGGAACCGTGGAATGATGACATTGAAGTCGAAGATTGGGAGGAAAGAGCTGATGCGTCACCCGGCATACGAACAGAACCAAAGGTTGAGGAAAGTGGAGTAACAAATGAGAATGAGTCTGAGGCAAATGAGAGTGAGTCTGAGGCAAATGAGAATGAATCTGAGGCAAATGAGAATGGGTCTGCGGCAAATGAGAATGGGTCTGAGGCAAACAGAAATGGTGATACTTGTGCAGACTACACAAGTAATGTTGTTAAAAATGCTTCAGGTGAAAAATCCTTGAATGATAGTGTTGAAGTACCAAGTGCTGGGGCCTCATCTCCATCTGAGAAATCTAGTTCTGATGAAAAGGGAGAGACTGAAAGAGACAGTAATTCTTTGAAACCAGAGCATCACGTGGAATCTTCACTGAACTCAAATTTGGAGTCTGCTGAAGTTCGCAGCAATAGTGGCTTCTCGGGAGTAACTAGTAGAGAACAGGAGACAGTTCGAAGTGCTAATGGAGGACATGATGTTCCACAGAGTCCTCAACCTAACAAGGAACTTGAAAATCAGCAAAGCAGCAGAGAAAATAAAGATCCAGAGATTATGGAAACGTCACATGTGGAAAGAGAATCTGAGGTGGTAAATTCTACTTCACCAACAGAGACTAGAAGAAATGCTGCAGCAATACCACCTGTTCGTCCAGCAGGTCTTGGTCGTGCTGCTCCTCTTTTGCCACCTGCACCACGTGCTCCTCAACAGTCTCGAGTCAATGGAAATGTGTCTCAAAATCAGCCTCAGCAAGCTGAGGACTCTACCACTGCAGAGACCGATGAGCACGACGAGACCCGTGAGCAGCTTCAGTTGATCAGGGTAAAATTTTTGAGGCTTGCGCATAGGCTAGGGCAAACTCCACATAATGTTGTAGTTGCTCAGGTTTTGTATAGGCTTGGATTGGCTGAACAGTTGAGAGGCAGAAATGGAAGCCGTGTTGGTGCCTTTAGTTTTGATCGTGCTAGCGCCATGGCAGAACAGCTTGAGGCATCTGGACAGGATCCACTTGATTTTTCTTGTACGATTATGGTGCTCGGTAAAAGTGGGGTTGGTAAAAGCGCAACGATCAATTCTATATTCGATGAAGTGAAATTTTGTACTGATGCATTCCAAATGGGGACAAAGAGGGTTCAAGATGTTGAGGGTTTTGTTCAGGGAATTAAGGTACGGGTGATTGACACTCCCGGTCTCTTACCGTCCTGGTCTGATCAAGCCAAGAATGAGAAGATCCTGAATTCTGTCAAGGCTTTCATCAAGAAAAGCCCACCTGACATCGTTCTATATCTTGATAGGTTGGATATGCAGAGCAGAGATTCTGGTGACATGCCTCTCCTGCGCACCATCAGTGATGTCTTTGGACCATCGATATGGTTTAATGCCATTGTGGGTTTGACTCATGCTGCTTCTGTTCCACCAGACGGCCCAAACGGCACTGCTTCTAGCTATGATATGTTTGTAACACAACGTTCTCATGTCATCCAACAGGCCATTCGCCAAGCAGCTGGAGATATGAGGCTCATGAACCCTATTTCGTTAGTTGAGAATCACTCTGCTTGCAGGACTAATCGGGCAGGCCAGAGAGTATTACCGAATGGCCAAGTGTGGAAGCCTCATTTGCTGCTACTCTCATTTGCATCTAAGATTCTAGCAGAAGCAAATGCTCTTCTGAAATTACAGGATAACATTCCAGGGAGACCATTTGTAGCCCGGTCTAAGGCTCCGCCATTACCGTTTCTCCTTTCGTCGCTTCTGCAATCAAGACCACAGCCTAAGCTTCCTGAGCAGCAGTATGACGATGAAGAGGACGAAGATGATTTGGATGAATCATCAGATTCTGACGAAGAATCAGAGTATGATCAGCTTCCACCCTTCAAGCGGTTGACTAAAGATCAAATGGCTAAGCTCAGCAAACCTCAGAAGAAGCAATATCTCGACGAGATGGATTACCGTGAGAAGCTATTTATGAAGAAGCAGATGAAACAAGAGAGAAAGAGACGAAAGATGTTTAAGAAGTTTGCTGCCGAGATCAAAGATTTGCCGAAGGAGCATAGCGAGAATGTTGAAGAGGAGAGTGGTGGACCTTCATCAGTTCCAGTTCCCATGCCGGATCTATCTCTACCTGCGTCTTTCGACTCCGACAACCCAACTCACCGTTACCGCTACCTTGATTCCTCCAGTCAATGGCTTGTGAGGCCGGTCTTGGAAACTCATGGGTGGGATCATGATATTGGTTATGAAGGTGTTAACGCGGAACGGCTCTTTGTTGTTAACGACAAGATACCAGTATCTTTCTCAGGCCAAGTTACAAAAGACAAGAAAGATGCAAACGTGCAGCTGGAAATGGCCAGCTCGGTTAAACACGGAGAGAGTAAATCAACTTCCCTAGGTCTCGACATGCAGACCGTTGGAAAAGAGCTGGCTTACACTCTTCGAAGCGAGACGAGATTCAACAATTTCAGGAGGAACAAAGCCGCAGCGGGTCTCTCTCTAACGCTCTTGGGCGATTCGGTCTCTGCGGGACTAAAGGTCGAAGATAAGCTGATTGCTAGTAAATGGTTCAGAGTGGTTATGTCTGGTGGAGCAATGACTTCTCGTGGAGATGTTGCTTACGGAGGTACCTTAGAAGCTCAGCTTAGAGATAAAGACTATCCACTTGGCCGGTTTTTGACTACTCTTGGACTCTCCGTGATGGATTGGCACGGTGATCTTGCTATCGGAGGAAACATACAGTCTCAGGTTCCCATTGGACGTTCCTCTAACTTAATCGCTCGTGCGAATCTGAACAATAGAGGCGCAGGGCAAGTAAGTGTTCGTGTAAACAGCTCAGAGCAGCTCCAGCTTGCTATGGTTGCGATTGTTCCTCTCTTCAAGAAGATACTTAGTTATTATTCTCAGCAAACGCAATATGGGCAATGATGAAGAACATTTTAGGCTGATTTTCACTTCCATCCCTTTGTTTGCAATGGAGAGTGTTAGGAAATGATAGTCACAAAGAGCATCCTAGAATCACTTTAAAAGGTACAATATCTCAGAATTGATTGCCGATTTCGATTTTGCTGCATAAAACTCCTCTTAATGGATGCTGATGTTGACTTGCTTATGGTTTTAAGCAGGAGCTATTGTCTGCACTTGGGTTGAAAAAGCTAAAAAAGACCAATTTGGTGGAGGAAAACTTGTGTGTTTGAAATAGTCAGAACATAACACGTTCCTTTATCTGATATATATAGTTCAGTGGTTGTTTTCTTCTATCTTCTTGAAACCTTGTGATCTCTTCTGTTATCAATAAAGATTTATCTATTTTTGTTCATGTTCACTGTACCATTGTGGCACCATCCAGTAGAATGCATTTTGCTGACAAAATAATAGAAATCTCACGGTCGCTTCTTCAATCAATCATGCATATCTATACATTCTCCAATGATTTGGATCCAAGTATAGACTTTTATAATAGGTGTTACAAAAGGACCCAAGGACAATGAGAAAAAGAACGAAAGTGTAGAGTATATATATATATATATATATGAGAAAAAACGAACCCAAATCACTTGCAAATTGTGAATTTGCAGGTCCCTGAATTAGCCTTGATGAAGCGAATAGCAGTCATGAGAACATCGTGCTGCGAGTTTCCGAGGAGAGCCAAATTGGTATGTGTGATCACAGCGATGGAAGTAAAAGGGAAGCCAAGAGAGTTGTATGAATTGAGTAATGCAGTTGTTGCTTCCCTTAGGAGAGTCTTATAGGCTTCTCCTCGACCGTCAAGCGCTTCCCTTACCGTCATATCAGTCCCGTATCTCCTCCCGGCTACTAGACCAAACGCAACCGCGACTTTCGTATCCGGTCCTATCGCCCTCCAGTAGCATCTGTACTCAGGTTTTATCCACAACCTATGCAAGTCACAAAGCCAAAATGTTATGAAGTTAGTCAAAACAGAGGAGGGCATAAAAAACAGATCAAACAAAGTTTTTTATAACCGAACCAAAATTCTAACGGAACAACAAAACAAAACGGTTGAGGTGTGATAAAGAACGAAATAGAAAGTTCGGTTCTGTTTCTCGGTTACTAATGACCTTTTTGTTTCACTTGTGGTAACCAAGAAAACAGAACCGAACCGAAAAACCGAATGCGCAGCTCTGACTTGAAATGTGCTAATGAAATGAATTAGAGAGCAAACTCACTGGTGAGAACAAGCTGACGGCTCTAAAAATGGAACTGAAGGAAATGGAGGCAATGGTGGAAGCTTAAACTGAGGAGGCGATGCGGTAGGAGGAGGACTGATGACCGGAACTTGAGGAGGAGGCAAGACCGGGACCTGAGGGATTGGAGGCAAAGATGGAAACTTAAACTGAGGAGGAGGAGGCATGACCGGAACCTGAGGAGGAGGCATGACCGGGACCTGAGGAGGAGGCATGACCGGGACCTGAGGAGGAGGCATGACCGGGACATAAGGAGGAGGCATGACCGGAGCAGGAGGTGGTTTAGGACAAGAAGACATTGGCTGAACCGGCTGAGCAAGAAGTGCATCCGCAGCAAACATTTCAATGCCAAAGAAACTAAACATTAGTTTAAGTTTCTGTGCAGGACCTGAAGCAATGCTGCAACTACTACTTGAACCTTGTTGTTGTTGAGCTCCATTGTCTGAAACCTGAGCATAACAGTTGCTCAGATCCGGTGTCCCATCAAATCTCATTACATATCCTCCAAGCCAATTAGTAGTCTCTTCTCTTGACATATAGACTTGTCCATCTCCATCAGAACATGTCACACTCACCTTAATTCCTGCAAGAAATCAAGAACAAATGTTAGAGGAACAAGAAGAGATACAGCAAAAACAGAAACAAAGTGCAAGAAAGTTATCATTTTTTTTATTACCGGAGACAGGAAAATCAAACAAAGATCTCTCTCCATCCTTGCATTGGTCACAAAACACTGTGCCTGTGACTGTGGCATATCCAGTAACTCCATTTGTAGCTAAGCCAAGAAGGAGAAAGGCGACAAAGAAGAGGTTATGATTTGGATCCATTGCTTTCTCAGGAACTATAAGCAATAAAGAAGAAGAAGAGAAAAAAAATGAGTAGTTATGGTTGTCTTAAAAGCCAGAAGATAAAATAGAGTAAATAAAAAGGAAATCATCACTTCCTCTCCAACCTTCAACTGCTAAAATATTAATTGAAGTTGTTGACAAAAAACAAAACAAAAGAAAAAAAAACTAATTCTTTATGGTCTGAACATGAGAGTATACGTACGAGTCAAGGACATTAATGCTTATGCTCCTGTCTCCAAGTTTTTGTAATGAATTCTTAATTATCTCACTAACCTTTTGTGCTGCGCAATAAATTTTTCCTTTAAAGTTAGTTTTTTTATAATATTAATGGGTTTAATTGGCCTTTTGAATTTATATAGTTATTAGTTTTGAAGGTAATGGTTCTAAGCAATCAATACTATCAAGACTTTGTATGAATATAGTTGTGTTGAGCTGTAACAAATGTGAACACAGTTCCACACACAACACGTGAAGTGTGAAAAAAAAATGAGAAACTTTTCACGACGTGTGCAGTTCTTGACCCGTACCCGCACGAATATTTCAAATTTTAACCATCTAATTATCGAACCACTGTTCTTGCAGTTTCATGGAGATGTTCGACTAATTTTCTTGATTTAATAAAAGAGATCTTGTAGTGTAGGAAAGTCACGCAATTTGAATCTGTAATGTGGAGTTTTGTTATGTTCTCATGTTGATATGTTGTTCTTTATTTCACGTTAATGCTTCTTCCATGATGGTAATTAAACAAGCATTGTCCAGATAAATAAGAAGACAAGTATTGTTGTCAAAAGTTAATTAGGTCGATAGTATGTGATCACTAGTAAGTGAATGTTCAATTGGATAATATTAGAGAAAGATATGTAATAGCTTAGAGAATATTTCTATATATCTTGTTATGTATATATTCCTTAAGTAGATTGGAGCTAGGGTTATTGTATGGGATGTAATTTGTATATATACCGATAATATATGGAATAAGACGGCAGAACATTCTCTTCACCTTTTGTCATGGTATTAGAGCCAAGGTTTAAAAAAAAAAAAAAAAAAAAGAAGAACCAGAATAACGAAGAGAAAAACAGGGGAAGAGTTTGATCTCATACAAGAAGAACCAATTAACGAAGAATAATGTCGGATAATACGCTTGCAAAAGGAGGCTCCAACGGTTTAACGGTGGCAGATAAGGCTGCTTTGTCACCGTTTTACCTCCATCTTTCCGACGGACCTGAAAACTTAATCACTACAGTGCAATTGAAGGGAGAAAACTATGAAGATTGGGCGAAGCATATGCGGAATGCCTTGCGAACGAAGAGGAAACTAGGGTTCATTGAAAGAACTGTGAAGAAACCTGCAGCGGAAGATGAGATAGAGCAATGGGAAGTTGTGAACTCGATGCTAGTGGCATGGATAATGAATACTATTGAACCGACGTTGAAAACGTCGATCTCTATGGTGGATGAAGCTCGCGACTTATGGGAAGATCTGAAACTGCAGTTCTTTGCAGGCAATGGGCCACGAATCAGCGAACTTAGGGCGGATATTGCAAACTGTCGCCAGAATGGGGATACAGTGACGGTGTACTTCGGGAGACTCAAGAAGATGTGGGACGAGTTAACTGTCTACAAACCACTTAGAACGTGCAGTTGTGGTGAGCTTTCGAAAGAATTAGAGGAAGATCGGAATGAGGAAAGGACGAACACTTTTCTTAACGGCTTGGATACAGCAAGATTTGGGATAGTGCGTTCTACGATTATAAGCATAGAACCACTTCCTAAACTCACGGTGGTGTATCAACGCATAATCAGGGAAGAGAGACAACAATCAATGGCGAGAAACAGAGACACTCCCACCGAAGCTATTGGCTTTCTTGCCAATGCAGGAAATCGATATCAACAACGTGACAAAGATGTTACGTGTACACACTGTGGAAAGTACGGACACGCCAAATCCGATTACTTCCAACTGATTGGGTATCCTGAACATTGGGGTGAAAGAGGTCGAGAATACAATGACAGAGGCAGAGGAAGATATGGTCGAGGTGGAAGATCAGGCCGAGGAGGTGGAATGTCTGGTCGTTCTGGAGGAAGGGGAACCTCCAATGCACGTGGAAACATGGCACAAGTACCACAGGTTACAGCAGCTGCAGCTACTGCAGGAGCGACCGTAGCAAAGAGAGAAGGTGAATATGATCGTCAGTCATTACCGCAGCTGAGTGATGATCAGTGGACAGCTCTTTTGAGCTTCCTTTCCTCACAGAAAACAGAGACTCACGATAAACTCAACGGTAATACAGAATTTGGAGAATTTATTATTGATACAGGGGCATCGCACCATATGACTTGGAACCTAGATTATTTAAGTAATGTGGTCGATATTCCATCATGTATGATTGGGTTACCCGACAGAGATAATGCGATAGCAACAAAACAGGGTGATTTATGTTTAGGAGGAGATCTGTGGCTGCGTGGTGTATTGTATTCACAAGAGTTGAATTGTTCTCTTATATCTGTTGCGAAGTTATTAAGAGTTTGTAAGGGATCTATTACGTTTACTGATGAGTTGTGTGTGCTACAGGACCGTACTACGAGGATGGTGATTGGAGCGGGTGAAGAGTGTGGGGGCGTGTACGTGTTTAGAGGGGTGATTGGTACGAATATCCACAAGACTGTGAGCCTGGATTCATGGGATTTGTGGCATCGTCGCATGGGTCATCCATCGAGTCAAGTTATTTCTTACTTATCGAGCTATTTGAATGTTGGAAAACAATTGAGTTCCAAAACAGTTTGTGATATTTGTTTAAGGGCGAAACAGACCCGTGATTGCTTTCATGAGAGTTCTAATAAAGCTGATGGAGTTTTTGATTTAATACATTGTGATACTTGGGGTGCTTATCGAACCTTATCAACATCGGGTGCAGCTTACTTTCTGACAATAGTAGATGATTACTCTCGAGCTGTATGGGTGTATCTGTTGCAAGAAAAGAAACAAGTGGCCGAAAGTCTTAGGGACTTTATTACAATGGTGGAACGACAATTCAACAAGAAAGTTAAAGTCGTACGCAGCGACAATGGTGGCGAATTTATGGGAATGAAACCGTACTTCTTGTCTGAAGGGATATTGCATCGAATGTTGTGTGTATACACTCCTCAACAGAACGGTCGTGTGGAGAGAAAACACAGACACATTCTTAATGTCGCACGTTCGTTAATGTTTCAAGCAGGAGTACCAGTACAGTTTTGGGGAGAGTGTGTACTCACAGCATGCCATTTGATTAATCGTACACCATCAGCAATACTTCAAGGAAAGACACCATTTGAGATGCTGTATGGCAAGGTTCCTGATTTGAGTTCGTTAAGGGTATTTGGTAGTCTGTGCTTTGGTAAGAAAGTGGCACGGGACAAAGATAAATTCGGAGAAAAGAGTAGACGGTGCATTTTTATGGGATATCCCTATAGTCAGAAGGGCTGGCGTATCTTTGATATAGAGAAGAAGAAATTCTTTGTCTCATGGACGTTGTTTTCCAAGAACACGTCTTCCCATTCCTTACTCTTAAAAACACGGGTTCCTCTTCGACAAAGACTCCTCTGCAGCAGCCTACACTCTACGATGAAGACTTTCTAGCATATCTGAAAGGGTCGTCTCCACTACAGTTGGACGATAGGGGGAGTCCTTTAATAACAACGGAAGCACCAATACTAGTAGAGTCAGAATTAGATGAAGTTGAGACTCCGCAAGAAGTTGTACCACCTGTTGAAGAGGTACCACATGTTGAGGCTGTGCTGATTGGCAGAGGGCACAGAGAAAAGCAGAAGAATGTACGTCTCACCGGCTACGTCTTATACACTACACGTTGTCATTGAGACCCCCCTGCACTTTCATCTTCTCCAGCTCTACCATCGTCCTCGCATCAAGGTACGATTCTGTATCCCATAGCAAATTACGTAAATTGTGATAGATTTTCTGCCTCTCACAGAGCGTTTCTAGCTGCGATCACGGCCGAGAGTGAGCCTACTTCGTTTCGTGAGGCCATGAAACATGAAAAGTGGAGAAAAGCAGTAAAAGGCGAGGTTACTGCTTTGGAGGCCAGCAGAACTTGGGATATCACAGAGCTTCCCCCAAACAAGAAAGCTATTGGTTGTCGTTGGGTTTTTACAATCAAATATAAGTCTAATGGAGAGATTGAACGATATAAAGCGAGATTGGTTACCTATGGCAATCGGCAAGAAGAAGGATTGGATTATGATTAAACTTTCGCACCAGTGGTTAAGATGACGACGGTTCGGATGTTTCTTAAAGTGGCTGCAGTTAAAGGATGGGAAGTGCACCATATGGATGTTCATAATGCATTCTTACATGGAGATCTTCAGGAAGAGGTCTACATGAAGTTACCTCCGGGGTTTGAATCTAAAGACAAGACTAAAGTGTGTAAACTACGGAAATCACTGTATGGACTTCGTCAGGCACCAAGGTGTTGGTTTTCTAAACTCACGGCGGCTCTCAAAGGGTATGGTTTCAAACAAAACAAACCTGATTACTCACTGTTTACATTAGTTCGAGGATCTATGAGACTATATGTGCTCATTTATGTTGATGATTTGCTGATTGGAGGGAATGATCCAGAAGCAATACTGAAATTCAAAGGATACCTTAGTCAATGCTTTCATATGAAAGATCTGGGATTACTGAAATACTTTCTTGGGATTGAAGTCTGAAGATCAGAAGAAGGAATATATCTTTCCCAAAGAAAGTATGCTTTGGATATCGTTAAAGAATGTGGATTGTTGGGAAGCAAACCAGTTCTCACTCCTATGGAACAGAATCACAAGTTGGCTGCAGATGAAGGGGATTATTTTCCAGATCCATAACGATATCGAAGGCTTGTTGGTCGCTTGGTGTACCTCACGTTTACACGTCCGTAACTGGCTTACGCGGTGCATATGTTGGCCCAGTTTATGCAGAACCCTCGAAGTAAGCATTGGGATGCAGTGTTAAGAGTTGTGCGATACCTTAAGGGTTGTCCAGGTCAAGGGATCTTGTTGAGCTCTAAAACGGATCTACGGATTAAGGCCTACTGTGATTCAGATTGGGCTGCATGTCCTATGACGAGGAGGTCGCTTACGGGTTTTATTGTGATGTTAGGTGATTCTCCCATTGCTTGGAAAACAAAAAAGCAAGACACAATATCTTGTTCTTCAGCGGAGGCAGAGTATAGATCGATGGGGTTTACTACAAGAGAGTTGAAGTGGAATCGAGAACTACTTATGTGTTTTGGCATTTCTCATCCACAGGCTGTGCAACTTTATTGTGATAATAAGGCGGCATTGCATATTGCAGCTAATCCGGTGTTTCATGAAAGAACAAAGCATATTGAATCGGATTGTCACTTTGTTCGCGATGAAATACAGAATGGTTCTCTTACTACATCTTACGTTCGTACGACAGAGCAATTGGCGGACATATTTACCAAGGCGTTGGGATCACAGCAGTTTACTTATCTAAAACGCAAGTTGGGCATTCGTGATTTACATACTCCAACTTGAGGGGGAGTATTAGAGAAAGATATGTAATAGCTTAGAGAATATTTCTATATATCTTGTTATGTATATATTCCTTAAGTAGATTGGAGCTAGGGTTATTGTATGGGATGTAACTTGTATATATACCGATGATATATGGAATAAGACGGCAAAACATTCTCTTCACCCTTTGTCAGATAACCCGATCTTTTATATATCTAACCTAAACCAAACCAAAATAAGTGATCTAAAAACGAAACAATATGGTTTAAACGGATTCATCTTTTCCATATCTGAAAAAGTCAAATCTAATTTGATTCCAATTCGAAACAAACCCAATTAAAAGAAAAAGATTTAAAACCTTATTTAAATTAAGAATATGTTCTACTTTTTTTTTTTGTCAAAGAGGATATGTTCTACTAAAAAAATTAAATTTGAACCAAAATCTTGGAGACTCAGTTGGGCCTCGAAATAATAAATAAATTATAGAATATTGTAATGGGCTATAAATTCATATTTGGGCTGTAGCTTGTGCATGACCACATATAGAAGGGTTGATAGGAAAAATATCAAGAAACATTTTCTTTTCTGCAAGTCCAACAAATCACATCCATTTTTATTTTCTTGTTCAGAAAAGTTATAGATTTTGATGAACACAGAAAGGAGGGAAGCTTATGATGTTTCCATCAGGTATATTATTAATTAGTGTAATTGAAGCATATGCTCCAATCACTTAGAATCTATTTATGCATATTAAAAATTATATACTTTCTCTGTAAAATGTTCTAACTTTTTTCTTTATTTTTAAAAGATCGATGTTTTAGGTTTTAAATAATTTATTTAGTTTTATAAAAAGCTATTAACCAATAAAGAAGAGAGAAACAATATTAATATATTATTAAAAAATAAAAATAGCTAAAATGTAAAATAAAAAACAATTATTAAAATATGCATTAATATGTGTGAAGATGTTAAAACGTCATACTTAAAAAAATAAATGGAGTAATTGTTAGACGCACCAACTCTCGCTTCTAAGCTACTCTGATTTTGTATTTTAGCTTTAATAACAAAATATACAAATTTGTTTACTTACCATTTATCGAATTACAAAAAACTTTCCTGAATGCATCCAAGATTATCAAAAATTTAACATTTGAGGTTGAGTCTTCAGTTCATGCACAAAATCTTGGTCATGGCACAAGTTAGCAGTATGTTTCAACCGTAAAATGACTTGACTGAGAGATGTCTATAGTTATATTGTAAAATTAAAAGTGAAAACTGCAGACCGTATATCTTTACAAGTGCAATTAAACGATAAAACACCAGAAATTGTTAGAAACAGAAGAAGAAGCTAAGCGAGCCTGTCCTTTGGCAAACTGATGTAACGCTCCTCTGTCTTCTGTTCTTGGAACCTCACTATCTCCTCGTTCATTCTCTTCACTATCCTCTCTAATCTTTCGCATAGCTTCCTCACGCTCTACTTTTATCTGCATTGTTGTCAAGTTTTTAAGCACCAACAACAAAGTTATGCTTGAGAGAAATCGTTACTACAACGATTGGGTCAGAGTTGTTGTTACCTCTCTGTATTCGATCTCAGCCTCTCCTACTTTCCCGAGACTTGTATTTGTATATACAGTTGCAAACTATGAAGTTATATGATGTTTGGCCGTCTTAATGCCTTTTTTGGATAAAATGTGAATATTATTACCAAATGAAGGAACAGAGTAATATAGTTACAAGGCTTTAGAACGTAGTAGTTTCAGCGGCTCAAAAAAAAAGGGGAAAAAACAAGTTGAAACTAACAAGCAATCTAACAGAAAGAGTTAGGCATAAGCGAACCATCGAGAAAGTAGGTCTTGACAACCTTTACGAGAGAGGCGAGCAAGGAGTGTGTCCCAAACAGAACGATCAATAGACTGCAAAACAGAACATGGAGAAATAAGGGAGCCATTGTGGAGTCTGTTATTTCTTTCTTTCCATATGAAATAAATCGAGGCATGAGCAGCAATTCTTCTCAGGTACTTGGTGCTGCGACAGTTAATTAAGTTCAACCAAGTGGACAGCTCTTGCCAATCCGTAAAGACAAGCGTCGAGGTGCCAAAGCGAGAGAGAACTGATCGCCAAATCTGATGAGAGAAGGAGCATTGTAGGAACAAATGATCCCTTGTTTCTGTCGAAGAGTTGCAGAGGCAACAAACATTTTGGATATTTACTCCCCATGTTTGAAGTCTTGATTTCGTCGGGAGCCTGTCTAGATGAGCAACCCAGAAGTTGAAGGCGTGAGCAGGAACTTTGTATCCGAACCAAACTGTTTCAGCCCGCGCTGCAGGAGTAGCAGAAGGCCTCATGAATTCCCAGGTTGTTTTTGTTGAGAAAGTGTTTGTTCTCGCACCTTCCTCTCCCCAAGTAAACTTATCCGGGCCTTGATCCAAGTGTGGAGGCGGTAAATCCAACATAGACTGGTGGAGAGCTCGAATGAGAGGGTCTCTAGAGCGAGCAGACGGAAGAAGCCATCCATTGCTATCAAAAGGTACATTGGAACCGATGAAATCAAACAGTGGGCCGTGATCAAGCCAGCTATCAAACCAGAAGCTTGCTGAAGCACCATTCCCAATTTCACATCCCATGAGGAGTTTAGTAAGTGGCCTCAGCGAGAGTAAGGTATTCTAGATCCATGAGTTTTTTGTTTTTTCCTCAAGTTGCCAGAAGTTCGATCTCTTCAGCCTGTGTTCTTTATTCCAAGCCACCCATAGCGAGTCTTTGGAAGTGAATAAGATCCACACTAGCTTTAACAGAAGAGTTTTATTCCAAGTAGCAAAATCTCGAAGGCCAAGACCACCTTCTGTTTTGGGTAAACAGATAGATGACCATGAGACCTTTGCCAGAGGTCTTTTAGTGATGTCCCCAGACCAGATAAACCGTTTACTAAGCTTTTCTATCTCCTTGAGACAACCTTTCGGGAGCGCGAAGGCAGAGAGCCAAAAGTTCAGGAGGCTGTAAATAACGGACATAATGAGCTGAAGCCTTCCCGCAAAAGAGAGAGGCTTGACAGTCCAACTCATGAACTTTTGTCTGATCTTATCGAGCAAAGGGGAGTAGTCTGCGATGTGAAGTATTCTGCTTAGGAGAGGGAGCCCCAGATATCTAATTGGGAAGGAGCCACTTGAGAAACCCAAAGAGTTGAGAGAGGCTGCTTCTTCATCGTTGACACCTGCGTGAAAGAGAGCCAATTTGTTTTTATTCAGCCCCAACCCTGAGAGATTCTCAAACTTTTCAAGGACTGAGGCAATCACTTGAAGTGACGAAGCTGAGTCATTGAAAAAAATCATTAGGTCATCCGCGAAAGATAAGTCCGAGATCCTCGGGTTCCTTGCAAGAGGGTGTTAGCCAATATTCCCCTCAACGAATTTTGAGTTAATCAGAGTTGTGAAGACCTCCATCGCTATTACGAACAAGGGTGGAGAGAGAGGATCTCCCTGCCTTAGAACTCTCTGTCCCTTAAAGTACCCACAGAGGCTTCCATTCACATTGATAGAAAAAGAGGTCGTAGAGATACATTCCTTGATCCAGTTTATGAAAGCCGCCGGAAAGTTTGCCACAGCGAGCACATGGAGAATGAAGCTCCAGTTAACAGAGTCGAAGGCCTTACGGATATCAACTTTTAGGAGGCCTCGTGGCGATGAATTTTTCCCCTTAAAACCCTGCACTAACTCAGTTGCAAGAAGCACATTCTCGACTAACAATCTTCCTTTGACAAAAGTAGATTGAGAGGGAGAGATAATACCCGGAAGAAGAATCTGGAGCCGTCGAGCTAAGATCATTGAGATAATCTTGTTGACAGCATTACAGCAGGATATCAGCTGGAAATCGCCAAGTCTAACTGCCCTTGAAGATTTTGGGGCAAGAGTTAGAGCAGTAGAGTTCCACTGCTTTAAAAGTTATCCAGAAGAGAAGAATTCCAACACCGCTACCGTTAGATCATCGCCAATAACATCCCAACACTTCCTGAAGAACTCTCCTGTGAACCCGTCCGGACCCGGTGATTTCTTAGCAGGAAGTTTGAAAGCTGTTCTTTTAACCTTTTCCGGGGTAACTGGAGCAACGAGCATCTCCTGAGCAGCCGTGGTGCAGCGAAAAGGAGTTAATAGAGAGATAGCCTCCTTTTCTTCCATAGAGAGAACTCTAGAGCTCTATCCCAGGAGTTTTGTATAGAATTCCATGCAGTGGTCCTGAATTTTAGGAAAGCTCTCGAGTGTCTCTCCCGAAACATCAATGAGGAAATGAATCTGGTTCGCAGACCGTCTAGCTGCCATTATTCGACGAAAATATGCAGAATTCAAGTCTCCACTCGTTTTCCAGTTCACTCTTGCCTTTTGGAGGAGGAAGCTCTCTTCAGCCACTTTTTGTTAGCTTTCTTCTCTAGTCCAGCCAAGAATGGGTCCGGGTTTGCTATGAGCTGGTTTTACAGCAAAGCAAGAGCATCATGTGCCTCTTTAGCCCTTATTTCCAGGTCTGAGTAGTGTTCTCTGTTTATATCTTTCAAAACGGGCTTTAGGGCTTCAGCTTCTTTACAAAAGTGAACATAGCTGTGCCCGAGTAGCTGACATTCTGCCAGTGGGAAGCAACATGGGGAAGGAAATCGTTGTGCTTAAACAGGAATTGAGAGACTTTAAAATACTTCTTACCCCGAGTTTCCCTTCCTAGATATATCGAACCAGGCGAGTGATCTGAGACACTTGGATCCCCAAAGTGACTGAAAGAGCAAGCTGTCATTTGTCGCTCACAAGCACCCTATCAAGCTTCCGAGCAATAGGGTTCAACTACTTATTGTTCCACCACGTGAAGAGGTTCCCTCTGAAAGAGAGGTCAAAGAGACCCAAAACTCTTAGGCATTCTCGCAGATTTGACATACCCATTGAGATTCTACTTCCCCCTTGAGAGTTTTCCTGGAACGTAGCGTCTGGTTAAAATCTCACAATGCTGCCCACCGCTTTGAAGAGACGATAGGATCTAGAGCCTACGCACATAGTTCCTCCCAATTTAAAAGAGCAAATTTAAAAGATGAGATTTCCAAATTCGGCGAAACCCGATTAGAGAGCTAAAGATCAATTTTTTTTTTATAAAAAAAGGGGAAGAAACACTTACTTCTGTTTTGTCTGGTGATGAAATTGACACCCTCGCCAAACTCAATCTGGATATTACTGTGGCACATGAAATTCTCAAGCTTAATCCTAAGGATCGTTCCTGACCCAGAACGCTGTTTCATGAATAAGCAAAGAAAGGCGACATTGGTATTTCCCTACTCCTTAGCAAGGCATGCAAGTTTTGATACAGCATCTCAGATCAAATCAACAAGTGGATATAGAATCAGTAAAACCCGATCAGAGGAGAGGGAAAAAGATGCAGAGAAGAGAGGGAGAAAGATGCAGAGAAGAGAGGGAGATCAGATGAGGAAAAAAATCCCCTCTTTTGTATCGGGAGACAGTTGAGAAATGAGAGAGGAAAAAAATATAGTGGAAAACATCAAAGAGACGGAAAAATTTTTGGTTTTATTAAAATTATATTCATCAAACCTATGATTGACACATATAGGTTTTTTAGAAGTTCTGAAACAGCTTAAATAAATAAGAGACGATTCTAACAAATTTTAAACTTAAGTCATTTTTTATGTTTTTGATAACAGTTGTAGCGTTATGTTTTTGCTATAAAAATATGGTTATAGATTTTTTTTTTTTTTGCTGTGTTTGTATATTTTATTTATTCAAAACGGTAGCTGTAAAACTGTAAAAAAATTATAATTTCAAAAAATATTGGATAATTTTAAAAATATAAAAATTTTAAACGGGTTATTTGTAGATCCAATCTCATATACATAATTTATTATTATATGTGTTTGTCTAAATTATTTATTCGTAAACAGATGATTATATGAACAAAAACACATATTAGACGAAACTATGAACAATCATAATCAAATCAAATATAACAAAATTATATCTAAAAAATACATAACTCTTTGCATAAACCTTATTAACACATATATTAAGCTTTACATGTTGGATTGATATTATTATGACATACATTCTATTTACTTTATTTATGTTTTACATTATTATAAAGAAAAGTTTATAATAAACTAAGATTAAAACTACAATATCATAACAAGTATACTTTGAATTATATACTGCATTATATACAATATATATATATATATATCAATATTTGATTTTTTTTATTTCAGAATCCTAATTAAATTTTAAAGTAAGCTAAAAGAATATATGATTGTCAAATAATACAATTCAAAACTATTAAACTAAAACAAAAATATGGGTCCACCAACAATACAATACCTCTAATTCTTACAAAGAAATTAACTCATACAATAAATAAATTCACTCAATATATTAACCGTACATATAAAATAAACAATGAATTTCAAATTAACCATAATTTTTAAATATTAAAGTATTTAGCATCAATGGTTTAAGCTGAATTTTGGATACAAACTAGATCTTTAAATTATCTTTTATAAGTTGTTTGTAGTTGATCCAATGATGTGATTTAAGTCATGTCGATTTTCGTAAAGACTATTGATAGGGTTCAGGTTTTACTCAAATAAAATTACTGCAAGTGCACAGCAAAGCAGTTGTAGTACAAAGGATATCGAATCCCAAAGGAGTAATGTAAACTACACTATCGTATGTAGGTTCAGAATTAAGATAAGCAGTATGTGATGTATGTAATGCGAATGACGAAATAAAAGCAAGCTAGCGAATTTTAGTTGTTGATCTAAGTTCCAGAAGACTAAGAGCGCTAAGTCAGGACAGTTCGCAGGTTGAATACAAGAATGTAGAATGCATAAAATCAGGAATTATTAAGGTCCGTTTTGAACATGAATCACTAATGTATAACTAAACAATTCTCATTACAGAAGTTAACTATGTTTAAATCACAGAGTTTCAAATCTCTTTGCAAACTCTAACAATCTAAACATGCAATATGATCATATTCAATTGTTCACAAGACTCCTAAGCCAAATCTTTTTGCACTAAGTTATTTTGCTCATCAAATACTAGTTCAGGTTATCAATAATGCTCTCACATATATTTAACAACCTATGATTTTCGGATTTTTAGATGTTGTGTCTAAGAAATCGATTTTCAAGCAAGCAGAGATGAAAAACCAAAAGATATTTCTAACATATAACAATTCTACAAACTCTTCATCAACCTTTGAAAAAGCCATAACTTAACTAGCAAATTATTCAGACATGATCATGGAATCACAAAACATAACTGAAATAATTTGCATTAAGAGAATAAAATAAAAACAAAGGGGGATCGAAATCTTCTCCAAAAAGAGTACAGGATTTGTCTCCCCAAAAGCTCTGAATAATATCCTCTCTAAACTCTCTGAATTCTTAAAACTAAGATACCAGCCAACAATGGCTGAAAACCTAATAAATAGAGGCTAAACACGATCTGGGGTCTCCTTGCAAATAATGGAACTTCTGGGCTAATTCTGTAAATAATGCTCCATCTTTTAAAAGCCAAGCCACGACACCTTCCTTTCTGGGTGACGAGCATCACCATATGTGGTGACAAGCGTCACCTTAACACATATTTTCTTCTCTGAGCTAGACACTTCGTGGCTTCAACTTGCAATGCTCCAAAAAGCTTCAATATCTCTAATTATGCTCCAGACATGCTATAACCTGCAAAGACTCTACTACGACTCTAAAAAGACCAAAAAGACTCAATAAAAAGGACTTATATCATGGTTAAAAACCATAAAAACCTTGCTATATCAAATCCCCCAGACTTGGCTTTTGCTTGCCCTCAAGCAAACATCAGACAAAGAACAGGGTCGATATTTGAAAACAAGAAACAATCAGTCAATCATCAGGAACACCACATTAGTTAACACTTTCGAATCCACATACCACAGAGTCAACACAAGATCAAATTTCAGTCTAATCATCACAAGCTTAGCAAATCTCTCAAGTCCAGTCCAAATCCCTTCAAAAAATCCGAAATTTCTACTACTAACTCCTTATTTTTTATCTAAGTGTAAAGTCTCATCAAGGTTTTATCATCTCAATCACTTACATATTCTTTTCCCTTCCTAAACAAATGAACAAAGCAGTCTCAGCACAGCTCTCCTATTTTCTCTTCCCTGAATCTTTTCCTTTCTGATTTTTTTCGATTTTTTTACTTCTTTCTCTCATTTTTTACAGTCTAAGATATGGTGCTACTCAATACTTGTGTTCCTTGTGAGGAGATAGGTTCTTGAGTGTGTTCATTACTGTTGTTCCTTGTGAGGAGACAGGGTCATGAATGCACCATTCTTTGGACTTAAACTTTTAAAAACTATATCAGGGAAGATCAAAGAGAGACTGTATCTTAACCTTATTGTCAGTGCTGAAAGAGAGAATCAAGATCAATAAGAATCAAGCCCCAAGATAAGAAGTTTAAAGTTCATTAAGGTGGAGTTAACAGCAGATTTTCCAGATTCTCTAAGATCCTAAACCTTCATTGCTAGACTGATCTGCTTATGACTTTCAACTTAGTAAGACTTGTAATCAACTACTGTGGCAATGGTTCTTATAAGCAAAAACTTCATATGGTTAGTTCCAAGAAAAACTGACAATTTCCAAATTTTGACTCTATAAAAACAGGTTTTTAACTCAACTTTAAGACTCTATAAACATGACACAAAGCACACAATCAGTAACGACCTCCTCCAGACTTAAACAACATTGTCCCCAGTGCTATTAAGTCAAGAGTTGGTCAAAAAGATGCATGAGAACTCATAAAACCAAGGTGAAAAAGTGGTACCTCGCGAAGGGTCGGGTGACGAGCGTCACCAGTCTGGTGACGAGCGTCACCAGTTTTTTTGTTGGTCGTGTTTTTTTTTTTTTTAACTTAGTAATTAATCACTATACAAATTCGAAAATAAACTACTAAGTACAATAAAAACTTACCAGTGGGTGCCTCTCACTAAGCACTTGTTTAAAGTCATTAGCTCGACTTTGATTGGTTGTTTAGACAGCTGGTGCATCATCCAGAGACACAATGTGTCCTGCTGGAGTCTCGGCTTGTGCCCAATAATGCTTCACCCTTTGTCCATTGACAGTGAACTCCTCTCTTTTGGAGTTAATCAGGACAATGGCACCATGTGGTCGAGCTTCCTTGACAGTGAAGGGGCCTGACCAACGAGAATGCAGTTTACCAGGAAAAAGCTATAAACGAGAGTTGTAAAGTAGTACCTGGTCGTTGGGCTCGAAATGTCTGGAGATGATCTTCTTATCATGATATGCCTTTGTCCTCTCCTTGTATAACTTGGAGTTTTCATAGGCCAGATATCTGATTTCATCCAGTTCATTGAGCTGAATCAAGCGCCTCTCTGTAGCAGGCTTCAGATCGAAGTTCAGCTTCTTTATAGCCCATTATGCCTTGAACTCTAGTTCTACTGGTAAGTGGCACGCCTTGCCATAGAGAAGGTGGAATGGTGTAGTCCCAAGTGGCGTTTTGTATGCTGTCCTGTAAGCCCATAATGCATCATCCAGTTTTGCTGACCAATCTTTCCTTGTCTTCCCAACTGTCTTCTCTAGAATCTGCTTGATCTCTCTGTTGGAAACCTCAACTTGTCCACTGGTCTGGGGATGATAAGGCGTGGCCACTCTGTGTTGTACACCATACTTCTTCAGCAGCTTGTCAAAGACCTTGTTAACAAAGTGAGAACCACCATCACTTATAACAATTCGCGGGACACCAAATCTGGGGAAAATTATGGTCTTAAACAACTTCAAAACCACTGCAGCATCATTAGTAGGAGTAGACAACGCCTACCCACTTAGATACATAGTCAACAGCAACCCGAATGTATCTATTCCCATAAGATGAGGGAAAAGGGCCCATGAAGTCAATACCCCAACAATCAAAGACTTCAACTTCTAAAATGAAGTTCTGTGGCATCTCATGTCTCCTGCTGATCTTTCCTCTTCTCTGACAAGTATCACAGCTTGTAATGAATGCCTGAGCGTCCCTGAACATATCAGCATACCAGGGCCTCTTTGGATCATCCAAAACATAAACTTGCTCTTTAAAAGCTGTCCCCAAGCTTGCACAAATCGCAGCCAAGTTCAGAGATTGGTGACGAGCGTCACCTCCTTCGTGTGAAATTTTGGTCGAGACTGTTCTCGGTTGGTGACGAGCGTCACCCCTCTGGTGTCGCTCGTCACTCCCCTGCAGTTTCGTGAAAACTGCAGGTTTTCAACACGTTCCTCCTGCAATCTTGTTTCCACCAAGTACACATTCTCTTCAGGCAAGAAATCA